TACGCTATTCATATCTATCTTTATCTTCAGAAACAAGCCCAACCTCACTGACCTTGCATTATGCAAAACCACCATTCATTCATGCATCACAGGATACCAACCACTACCAATTCATACGTTGACATACACAACTATCTCCCCCGTTGTTTGGTGAAAGGAGAAAATGTCTCTTCCGCTCAAAAAAACTGTAATAAAATGAAATACTAGCCACCAAAGGTAAACAGAACGTTGTAATCCAGGTCGCTCACCTTCCCATGCTACCTTACTCGCTGAAGTCATATCAGCTTAATATGATTTGCTATTATCCACTGATGATTGGATTCATCAGTTAATTTTTAGGATAAAGGGTTTGATTAGTTTCACTAATGAAAAGGTTCTTAATAGTGGATAATTCTTGATACCCAACTGTTTGCTTATATAATCATTCTTATAAATGACGCAGATTATTTTAAATTTTTAAATTCATTCATTATACCACTTGAGATAAAATTTATTAGTTCTAAAATTCTATGGAGATCTAAAGAAATAAATTAAGCAACTTAATATCTAAAATATCTTTTAAATACCAACAGTTGATACTAATCATGTTACTGAGAAAAAGGGAAAAAAAAAAACACTTTATCAACAACCGAGTAATTAAGCAAAAGCCTTCACTCAAGTAACATCAATCTCAGTGAGAAAGAAATTAGATTGGAACCCTAGTTTGGATTATACGTCGCACCAAAGATAGTAGTATTCGAACTAATTATGAGCCCCGCAGTGAGAAGAAATATGTATATAATATAACACGTAGAAACAAAAATGCATCTGCTAAAGGTTTACAACCAGGATTCAAGGGTCTGATTGGTGACCATGTCACAGTTTCGGCACACAAACAAACGCAAAGAATTCTCGCTGGAACACACGATCACTGATGCGTTTTTTAGATATCGATCTTCACAACTTATATGAGTATATGATGTTTAATTTATATTATGACAATTCACCAGGGTTCTCAAACTTGTCATTGAAATAGTTAGTAATTTTTTTTCTTTGTATGCCAAAGTGAAAAAGGCCATTATTTCTAAGCCTTTAATTTTTCTCTCTGTTCTCTCCCTTTCTCGTGTTTATTTTTAGCTGACAATTAGGAAGCACGAAGCTCTCTCAGAAGTACCAAAATTGCACGCATGTTTCTGGATGTTAATAATTATTAGTCACATGTTATCAAGATAAAAGTATGATTACGTTTAGACAGTGCAACATCCAGCTACTGTATGTAATAATGATATCCTTCGCTAAACGACATGATTTATTTTTTTAACAACCAATTTAATTAATCAAGGGTTCATTTATTATTTGTTTTAGTTTTTTGCTATCAAATTTGAACATAAAATCTTCATTCAACATTTCCTAAATACTTCTGTATCACTAACTTTAAGGATATCGAATTATATTTCTTTGATTAAGTTAAAGTAAAGATAATTTTTTTCTTTTTTAGAATACTTAAGGAAAAATGTCCGAAAAACAGCGTGAACAATTCCAATGAATGTTTGATTGGTTGATACTTAATTTATTCGTTGGTAAAATTGTCGTTTCAGGAAATGCAAACGGCAATTATGTGAAAGTCAGATTCACTTTTGGCAACAATCAGAGGAGAAGGCGAAAATTTTATTCTCAGGGAACCTTTTTTTCTACTCTTTATATGTGACTAATTGTTACTGATAAGTCAGGATTTAATGTACATAAATTTAACGAGTTAAGGTTGAAGTTTTCTTAATAATTCATAATTTTGAAGACACTTTCATCTTAAATTTTTACAAACATGATCATTACATATCATAGCCTACAATAAAATACTTTTATTTTGTCTAAATTCCATTGCTACCTTGAGTTTAGCATAGGCTTTGAAAGACATGAACGCAATATTTCTTAGATTCTACTAAGCACCATTAACTAAGCCAAAGTGAAATCTCCCCATAAGGTCAAAATGTGATTACAAATACCTTTTAACAAGGACAACCAAATCTTACTATTTTTCTGTTAATTTTATGTTTGGATATTTTTATGTTATGTTTGAATATTTTTAATGTTATTTTATATGCTTTAAAAATGAAAATTTAATTTTTAAAGAAAAATAAAGATTTTAATTTAACCCATTTTGCAATTTCTTACACACCCATAATACAAGGGACCATGAGAAGGGCATGCCCATCCAGGGAAAGGGGAGTGGTACCCACAAACACAGCACTCCCACTTGCATTATTCCACCTCTCTCTTATTTCTTTTTAATTAATAATTAATAATTATAATTAGAATTTTGTGGTGGAGTTAGTAACTGAACTTCCCTGGCTGCGTTCAAGTTCCAAGTAAACCCAAATCAATCTAATATGGTCAACTTTAATTACAGAAACCATGGTTAATGTCAACTTCCCAAACTTCATGCCAACGTGTCCTGCTTTATATCACACCGGCTAACCCCATCCACACATTCTATTCATGCCAAAAATTATACTCATCATATTTATGTTTATTCAATAATTTTGAAATATATAAAAAACAAAATTCACTTACCCACTCCCCAAAAAATAAAAGCTAAAACTTTATTTTTCATTTTATCATTATTTTTTTTAAAATATTGATCTTAATAAAATCTCGTATTAAATTAAAAAAAAAAAGTATGAGATGAAGAGTAAATTTTCTTATTAAAGTGTTCATTTGTCATGCATTTTATAATTTCTTATCTTCTCTATCGCCAATGGGAAGATATATGTGGGATAAATTAATTAGTCACTTTTTTTAGCTGTCATCCGCATATTATTACAAGGTTTGACGTTTTGTGATTATAATCATGTGCCATCTTGTCTCATGGAGAAAAAAGGCATATATATTTCTGAATATTTTAACCATGTTGTTGTGGCAGATGAGTACACATTTATTTAAGAACATTTTTTAAGGAGTGATACTTTTTAAGCACAAAATTTATGTCCTTCTTTTATATTTTAATGGTTTATAAGACTTTTTAAGAGGAAATGAAAAGTGATTAATATATAAAAATTAAAAAGGAAATATTTTTTTATTAGATAATAAAAAAATAATAAAGAAATATATAAATTTATAATAAAAAATATCATATAATTATATATTAAAATCTATATTATTTAAAAAAAATATTAATAATCGTATAAGTAATTTATAATTAAAATATTTAGTTTTAATTTAATAATTTATTATTATTTTTCTTTTAAATGAATAAGACTGTTAATTTTATTTCATTTTCACACTTTTTTACTCGCTACAAACGGACCCTTATTTTATAGTTATAAATTTAAAATTATATATTACATTTTTATTAACTCTTTATAATATGTCGAGGCTTTTTTAATCTCATAAAAAATTAAAATTTAATCCTATAACACATCTATCTTATCATTTACCTAAATAACGTAACACACACCGTCTTTCATATTAAAAATTGGCTTGTTAATAATAAATTGGGATAAACTTACCACATAAAATTAAAATTTATTGACTAATTTATCTGCTTTACTCCACCCACTTATACTTATGGACCAACCCACACATATTAAAAAAAAATTATTAATGAGGAAACTTACAATTGTATAAGTGATTAAACAAGTTGAGAACCCTGGTTTTAACAAAGGAAAAGCTACAAAATGGATTGACTAAATTTGCTTAATTAATAAGAGCACTTTCAAAAAAGAAGTTGTTGATCAGAATTAGTTAAAAATAAATCTATTATTTTATTATAAATTTTAGATATGAATGGTTTAAAAATTATTCAAAATGAAAAAAAAAATATTTATGTAAGTAATTTTGCTAGATATAAACACTTTTCATGAACCACTCCTTTTAAAATGTCCTTATTATTTTATGTCAAATGTATTATTGTACATATGAAATAGTTCATTTGTTTGATCAGTTGACAACTCCTAGAAAATGAGGGTTTAAGTTGGTATACTAAACTTTGATTAAATAAAATTGGAGTAAATTTTGATAAAAATATTTCATCCTCTCTCGTTCTTGAATTTAGGTAGTTTTAATAAAATAAAATAGAATAAATAATGCCTAGTTGCATAACAATTGTACATTATTCATGTTGAATTACAAATTGTAGAGAAAGTCGAATCCAGATACTAGAATGGCATAAGCCTCTTCAACTCAATTATACAACGTTGTTTTGCCACAAAGAGAAACTCCAAAATCCAGCTTCAGAATTGAATATTTGGGTAATGGGTATCTTTCTATCTATCCAAATCTATCAGTTGAATAATTATCTGTAATTAAGTTGATGAGATTAATTAATTAATCCAATAATGAATTTAGGATCGCGTAGCGGGCACGCTCCGGGAACAGGAGTGACGATCACTTGCAACCTATTCTTCCAATGCCACCATCGTCCTTTCGAATAAGAAAGCGTATTAAAGATTGAATTTCTCAACCAATTATTAGTATTAATTTACGTCCATTATTTAAACTTTTTCTTGTCCAAACAAATTACTGCGTTTTAGGTCTCTGTCTCCCCCCCTCTCTCTCTCTCTCTCTCTCTCTCTCTCTCTCTCACTCTACCTTGCTTTCGTTCTTCTTTTTCTTGTTGTTGTTCTTCTTCTTCTCTCTCTTTCTTCTTCTCCTTCCTTTTCTTTCCCTGCACTCCATTCTCCTTCACTCTCTTTGTCTTGGTATTAACCCATCTTTATCAATTCAACTAGTCACAACACAAGCTACCTCTCCCTCTTTCTCTCATAGTCTCTACCTCATTTTGTTTTGCATCCATATATCTTATTCATATCTTTACACACACACACCATACACCACTTCCCTTAAAATAACCATAAACAAAAGCAACTGAAAAACAACAGTTTTAAAAGAGAACACCCTCCTAGTATTACTATTTATTAATATCAACACCCCAAAAGAATAAACTACCATATTTTATTTTATTTTTTTCGTTTTCTTTGAATAAAAATTGAATACCTCTCTCTTCCTTTGATGTGTCTATGTCTATGGCTGGTTTGGATTTAGGCTTCGTCCAAAGTCTCCACAGACCAGACTTCAACCAACAGCAGCACGAACCCGAGGAAGATGCCAAACAGTCGGACCCCTTTTCGACCGAGGATGGCCCCCACCACGCCAGCCCAGGCGACGTGGTTGGGCGGCGGCCGAGGGGGCGGCCTCCGGGGTCCAAGAACAAGGCGAAGCCGCCGGTGATCATCACCAGGGAGAGCGCCAACACGCTTCGTGCGCACATCCTCGAGGTCGGCAGCGGCTGCGATGTGTTCGACAGCGTCGCCAGCTACGCGCGGCGGCGGCAGCGCGGGATCTGTATTTTGAGCGGCAGCGGCACCGTGACGAATGTGAGCCTGCGGCAGCCGGCGGCGGCGGGGGCTGTGGTGACTCTTCACGGGAGGTTTGAGATACTGTCGCTGACGGGATCGTTCCTTCCTCCGCCGGCTCCTCCCGGGGCGACGAGTCTGAGCGTATACCTTGCCGGAGGACAGGGGCAGGTGGTGGGTGGGAGTGTGGTGGGAGAGTTGACCGCGGCGGGACCGGTGATTGTGATCGCAGCGTCGTTCACCAACGTGGCTTATGAACGTTTGCCGCTGGAAGAAGAAGAAGAACAGGTTCAGATATCTGGTGGTGCTGGTATGGGAAATACCAGTAACAATAATATTAATAACCCTTTTCCTGATCCTTCTTCAGGACTCCCTTTCTTCAATTTGCCCATGAATGTTCAGTTGCCGGTGGATGGTTGGGCGGGAAACTCAACTTCACGTTCACCATTTTGATCACTCTTAAACGGAGTCGTTTTCGACCTTTGGTGTTGTCTCTTACATCTTAATCTAATGTGAGATTAATCTATATATCACTAGTTGTTGCCAATCGATGAAGATGTGCTTTGTTCAGTTCAGGTTAGCCATTTCATGGACTTCACATAAATTTATATGCTGTGTTACACTTGCTATTTTTCTTTTTTTTCTGTCACGAAGGATGTGTGTTATTGTAGTTGTTCTACTTAACTAGTGAAAGTCTCACTGGTTTTGATTTTATCTGAGTTCCTTCTCTTTTATGGAGCAATGTATATGATATATGACTGATAGTGTCTTTGTTTCATTGTTTTCTTTTAATTTAAGAGATTCAGATTTGAAACAAACACCTGCACTAGCTAGCCTCGTGTTTCAAAGGACTTATATTGTTAAACAAGAAGCAATAAAATCCAACTTGTTAACCTTTTTCCCCAGCTTTTTTTCATATGATCATCAACTTCCAAGTTGGCTTCTGTTTTCAATTCCATCTCTCGAATACAAGTCGTTGGTTTAACGAGTTACAAATGATATTAAACGATAATCAAATTTGTTTGTGTTTTGTAACATTGTATGTATAAGTGTAGTTAGGGATTAATAATAATAATAATAATATAAAAAAAAGTAGGGTCTTGTTACATATAGGAATTAATAATTTTTTCTTTTTAATTGTCGATTGTGTTTTACACTAAAATTCATAAGATAGTGCACTCTAATAAAGTAATTTACTTTTCCATCTCATTATTGTCAGTATCGTATGCGCTTTGTTTAATATCTTTCTTGAAGAAATTAAAAAGAAAATAAAAGTCGTTTTGGGCAAAGAATTTATTGATTAAAATTAACAATGGAGATAGAGGGGGCAAGAAGCTTGCAATATATATAAGAGAAAGGGTTCTTCCCAGTGTAGCCTACTTACTGAATTGTACTCACAATATCATACATAAACATGAATTCAAACAGTTTTGCTTCAACGAGTCTTTACGTATGACTAATTATTCTCTATGCTCTCTTAAGGGTGAACTTATTCTGGAAAAGTTTTACTCTGCATCTATCAGTTTTAAAGATATAAGCACAAATTTGATTTGTAATGTATGTTTGTTGTGGCTAGAAATCATAAATCCATAACTATAATATGCATGCATCATACATCCCTCTTATTTTTGCTTGTGACTATGGAAGCCAAATTTGGTTTCCTTCAATTAATGTTATCAAATTTCAATGTGACTTAATTAGATTAAATTTTAACTTACAAGAGCTTTCAATTATTAAACCCCTGAATGTTAATTGTATACGGCAATAATATGGAGTTCTGTTAAGCACACGTATGAAGTTCACCTCGCTTTACCTCCTAATTGGTTCCTTTTTTTCCTCTTATAATGTAATATCTAAGATTATAGGATGAAACATGTAATAAATCGTAGCTTCTGCTACTAGTAATTAATAAGCTTCTGGTTTTGATTAAGGAAAAGGAGTCATTTCTTCTAAGTCTAACATAAAACTTGGATAATCAATCTTATGGTGATGAAATCACAGTCTAATCTTAAAAGGGCAACAGAGAAGGGCTTCATCTTGACAGTGTTTTGAGGGATGGTGATTATAACATCAGATTATACCCTGAACATGATTCATTTGGTTAATTCATATTTGCTTAATGATAATTTGAAATGGTTAATTAGGAACGCGTTCGCGTGCTAGTTGTCAAGATATTGTGGGATTGGTTGCATTCTAAGCCCTTTTTCCCCGGCCGGAATCGCTCTGATCCTATCATTCATATATATATATATATATATATATATATATATATATATATATATATATATATATATATATATATATATATATATATATTCATTGAGTAGCTTGAAGGGGTAAAGTTGGACCTAATAATTATAAACTTTTATCCATAGATCATCAAATCATAAGTGTAGGTTGGATAAGGTGGCTAGGTTTCCGGCGATCAAGACTTAAATATTGCAAGTGATGGGTGAATTATTCTCCACTTAATATATATAATATACCTTGCGTTCTGATGGAGAAAGTGCAGAGTGAAACCCTACCACGCTTTGCTCAAACAAGTTCTTATGTTGGTGTATATATTGTAAAAGCACCGTGCATTAATTTCACCATGAGATTCATCGCATTCTCTTCTTTAGTTCTTTTCTTCTGGAATTCCTAGCCCTAATGTTTTATTACTGAGAACAGAAGTATCTGGTTTTTAGCCCTAATGCTGTTGAATGTTGAATGAGGAATTTGTCTTCCATGTTGATATTTATCAAACAAGTTCCATAAAAAAATTATTTTTTAAGCCAGAAACACCGATTCAAAACTCCTTAATAGTGTGTGAGATATCCCTTGCTATTCTCCCATTTTAAAACTCACAAATCATATAATAAAGATAGTTTTTCCAACATTTATATTCAAGAAAATTTCAATTTACAGAATAATGTTATTCCAAATTCATTAATTCCCGGTTTGGTCTTTAAGAACAAACTCTAGGCTACTTGAGATTATTGATTTCAGTTAACATCTTTTGTTTCCACATTAAATAATACCATAAAAAGTGAGATGCGATCCCTAATGAGTTCTATCAAATTTCTGTTTTTTTTTAACAGGATAAAAAAAAAATAATCTTGCAATTAATTTCTGCAAAAATATGATTCGTATTTTGTCAACGCTGAAGGGGAAGTACGGCATCCAGTTCAGGTCAATTCCAATTAGGTTTTTAAAATATATCAGAATTTATATTTTTATAATTTCTTTCTGAACATCTCCACTCATAAACATCACCAATTTGCAATGCAGACATTTGACTTTGCCTCCTTGTTGACATTAAACAAAAGTATGAAACAAGAGTTTGCATCCACATTAAACTACCATATGTTCTGGAATTCACAGAAGTCAAACTTTCTTTATTTTTCAAAGCATGTCATAGACTTAGTGATATTCTATCTCCTCTTAGCAACTGGTTTAAATCATATACATATTGATGAAATACAAATTTATCATAAATTACAATAACTAACATACAAAACTAATAGATCGCGGAGGGAGATAAATTACATTGATGAATATTTTTATATTGTTGAAGTTATCTAATGGCGGATATTGGTATTTGTATTTTTCTTTTAAACGATAAAGTTATATTAAATCGCATATAAGTATCCAGAAATAATCCCACAACAACTAATGGCCTTATCTGGAGGGAACATATTCCAATTTTATGAAAATCTTAATTATAATATTATCATGATAAAGGTTAACAAGGAACCCTAGAATTTATAGAAGAGGTAGACAACACCTGAAGGGTAGTTGTTGGGAGGAAAGATTCCTGTTTCATATCAATTAACATAAACAAATTGGTGCAAGTGTGGTTAATAATTAAGCAATAAAATATATAATATGGTTTAATAAAGGAATCAGGTTGACTAAGTCCTAAGTGCAATATAATACTTCATCCTAATGCTTACACCCATTTGTTTCTAAGCTGTCAACTTCTTTTATATATTTTCATAAACAATAGTTTTAGGTTTGCATTTAATCATAATATATATAGTAATCAAACATAGCCACGTTTTGAGAATTGTTTATATATAAAAATGGTGTTGTCTTATGGTGGACATGATGGATGAGGCCAAAGTGATGATGATGATGATGGTGTCAAAGTATTGAGAAGTTGTTAGCTTTGAGTCTTTTAATCAAGCACCAAATTAAAAAGGGCATGAGTGCAATATTAAATTTAAGTCATGATGAACATTTATGTTCGTTGATATATATAGCAACACGAGCATGAAACTTCGTTATAATATTTAGGTAATGATATTAAGTTGATTAACTTGTTTATAATATCCACAAAGAACATGGTTGGAAGTAATCATAAGTATATACCAAATAATAATACAGTAATCCATAGTTCTAGGAAGATATATATAGGTAAATAAATGAAAATATTTAAAAAAAAACATATGATTCTTGATATTTGGATTTGTTATTGTGATTTGATAATTAATAAATATTTTGTTAGGAATTAGGGTTTCATACTTTATCTTTAGACCTAGTTGATAGATATTAGTTGTTTTAAGTATATGATTAATAGAATGCATATATATTTTTCAATATTTTTATAAAAATATATAATTTATTAAATTTAGTTAAATATTTAAGAATTAACATTTTTTGATAAAAAAAATATTGAATTAATCCTAATAAAATATATTCCGATAAGGAAGATTTGCTTTGAGATACTTGATTATTATCATCAGTATTATAAAATTTTATTTATAAGAAAATATTTATAAATAATAAAAAAAGTAAGTAAATAATAAATTGATTATATAAAATGAGAATGATGTAAGCATGTTTTGTATCTAATAAAAGTAAATAAGAAAAACTACAAATAAAGATTTTTTTTTTTAATTCACATGGCTTACTTTTCAAACAAAAGGTGATGTGTTTGACTAAAATAAAAGGAAGTGTGTAAAGAATAAGAATATAACTTTGAAAAAATAAATCTCTAATTTAATTATAGTCAAATGATAAGGATAATTTTTAAAAAATTATTTAATAATAATATTTATATTTAATATTCTACATGTGTTTTGTATTGAGTCTGGAAAAAAGAAAAAAGAAAAAAAAAATGATAGAAATGTACCTTCAAGGTGATTTTCAATATATAATTGTAACCTGCAGAGTCTAGTGACCCAAATCTTCAAGTACAGTATTGGGCCAATCCCATATTCATATTTCGTTGGATCAATAGTCATGCCCTTTTTTATTTCATACATGAAATGATACATTCTTCTTTTTATCTCTTTATTTTCTTTCTACACTCCCATATTTATTTGAAAAGATAATAATATATTTAATTTTATAGAATAATTGGTCCATATAAATTATGGAATATTCCAGAATGAAAAAAAAATTGGATAAATGGATCCAAAAATATATACATTTTTTAATTTTTGAATTATGAAATCTAAAATATAATTTTACCATTAAGAAAAGATTAATCTAAAATTTTTTTGAAAAAAAAAATTGAAAAGATAATATTGTCTTTTTCATATAAATATGGGTACTAGAAGAAAATAGGGAGGTGTATGAAAAAGAAAACCCTATAAAATTTGTCATAGGTCTTATTCAAAATGAATTAACTATCATGAAAATGGGCCTATATAAGTCCACTTTGCCTCAGGGCAGTTCAACTTTCCAGAATTAGGCCCAACAGATATTAAAGTTACACTATTCTTTTATTGAGAGGTTGAGAAATGCTAGAAGCACCTTCTTTTGTATACACTCTCTAATTTATTGGTTGAATTTTTTTTCAACCACAAAAAAAATGTGAAGCAAACTTCTTAATAATTATTCTCTCATATTTAAATTTAACCACTAAAAAAATAAAATAAAAAGTGTACAGAAAAGTATATTCTTAACCCTCATTTTCTTTCCTTCTGAATCGTAGTTTTGTAAAGAAAAAAAAAAAAGATAAAAAACACAGGTTCTTTTGAAGGCAAGTAGAGGCCAGTTTATTAGTATTGACTTCTGACCTACTATTTAAGATGCATTTGCAGACTCCAGTTGAAAAATCTTTTGGAAGAAAAATGGTAAAGAAGGATTAGTTCTTCTCAATCCATTTTAGACACTAAGATTTTCTCAAAAGTTATGAACACGCACAGTAGTTCATAAATTCAGAGGAAATACATTGTTCATCAGAGGATTAACATGAGTGCAGAACATGATTTGGACAAAATTATGTAATAATCATGTAAATAATAATCCGTTTCTTGATTGCATTTGAGAAAAGGCCTTCGGAAGTTAGCAACTAAAGTTGAAATTAATCAACGAATATAATTAGGCTTAAATTAATAATGTCAGATCGATAATCTTCAACCAACAAAGATCAGAAGCCAGTAAAAGAACACCTACACCCACACCCGAATGAAACATCAACTCTTCGATTTTGACAACGTGGTGACCTGATATTGTACTTTCTCGTTCTCTGAAGTTTAAGCTCCAACCTCATATGTTGTGTATGAATGTAAATTGGTAAACTTTTATTCACAATCAACATTAATAAGAAGGTGGGGTGTGAAACAATTAACCATCGAATCCAGTTACCCCTTATTGTAAACCAAGTCTCCTTCTCTGTTTATTCAATTAAACCAAACTTTTATGTTCTAAATTTAATCTCATCAAAGATAAGAATAAGAAATGAAGAAACTCAGTTAATGATGTTTCGTAAAATCAACCACATAGTATGTATATATCAGAAAGTGTGTTTTTCTGTATCTGAAATTTGTAAAACAGAGTAGTACTTGTGGTGTGATGAAGACAAAAAAAAAAAACAGTGTGTAATTAAGATGATATGTGATTACAAAGATTTATACATCGTTAGTGTAGAAGTCAATAATCTCCTTCAAATTAAGCTGGAACAAAGAAGAGACATCATTGTGCATGAGCCACAACATGTGCTCGAACAAAATGTCATCCACGTCCACAAAGATTACTCTTTTCTGAGACGAAGTGAAATGGAAATGGTCCTTCTCCACCGCAGAGTCCTTCTTCATTGATATATCCATCAAAACACGAAACGGGTTCTCTTGCAATATGAAAGGTTCGACCAGAAATACTCTTTTCTCTTTACCCACCACCACCGTCACGGCGTTTTCCGATTCTTTCAACTTCTCTTTCGGAAGCGGCATGTAACGCATCCGAGAACCGGTGGAACAACGCCGGATCAATGAAACTGGCATCACCAAACAATCCATGGATGCAACAAAAGCAAGGAAGAGGCTCCGAAGAAGAAGAAAAAGGTTGTAGATTTATTGTGGCTCTAGAACCTGCAAGGAGCTTATATAATAATTTTTATTATAGCATATTAAATATTAAAGCTTTGCTTTTTAATTATTGTTATTATTTAGGTGACCAAAGATAAAAGAAAGGGTTACTTTGGATGTATAGTTTGGATATGACTTGCATCTGCAAATAGGAAGTAACCGTTGGAGAAAGGATCCCTTGGACCGCAAGAGGACTGGGCTACGCCTACTCTTGTCAGTATGTGCGTGAGCGCGTGACAGTTGTTTAGTTTCTTAAGATTGATTAATTTTTTTGTTTAATTATGCTTAACAAAATTTATTGTATCTTGTAATTAATTGTATTTAAATTAAATTATGTATTAATAAAAAAAATTAAAATTAATTATATTAAAGTTAACCTACATGATAATAATTTTTTAAAAGTTATTTATATTAGAGTTATTCCATCTGATAATAACATTTTTTTAAATGATAATAACTTAAATTGTTTAAAAAAATAAAGAAAATTATAAAATATTTTATTTTTAATATTTTAATAAAAAATTCTCAAATTATATTTATTAAAAATAAATATATATAAAATTATTTTGAGATTAATCATAATATAAAATAACAAAATATTATAATAATAATATATAATACTTGTTCAAGTATTTTTAAATTTCTGTAAAATTAATTTAGTTTTATTATTTATCTTATAAGTATTTTTTAAAGAAAATAATTTTATAAAAATTTAAAAAATTATTTCTAAATAAATTCTAAATTAAAATATTATATTATAATATTTAATTATAATAACTAAATTATTTTTAAATTATCAAATAAAATATAAATAAAAATTTATAAGAATATAGAACATTTATCTATTAAAATAAAATTTGTGAAAATTTTATATAAATAGTTTAAAAATAACGTTAAGTAATAGATTTCACTTCAAGTAAAAATGTATTTTAAAAATAATCCAATATATGTTCCAATATATTTGAAGTGGCGCGTGGGTGATGTTTGCTTTGCCGACATTAGCGAACAAGACATGGCATTGGATTAATAATCTGAATGAACTTAGAAATATGTTACTATCAGGAGTGGGCGATTTTTGTCTTGAGTTGTGACAAGTGTATATAATAAGTCAACGTTAATAATAATAATCCATCAACACAATGATCTCATTAATTTATCACTAAGTCTAGTTATCTTCACACAGCATAATTAAGATATTATCAGATACATTCATCGTAACAATTAATTGACAAGTTATGTATTTAAAAGAGAAATAAAATGTAGGCTAATCATTAATCAGTGTTATTGTAGGTTATTTTTGGGACTTTGACCAGTTGTTTAAGAAAAACAAAATTTGTTTTAATATGGTATGTGATGGTGATCGTCAAAGAAAAGGTACGAGATTACTATTATCATACAAGACTAGATTTTAAGTTACACCCTGGGAACTTATAGAAAAACAAAACATAGCCATGTGCTTTCTTTGTTTTTTCATATTATTAATTAATGGATGAAAAAAAGGTTTTGAAGTGATTTTATTGAGAGGGGATGTGAAATCAGGTATACGCTTTCTAGAGTATAGAATCTGGTAAACGCGTTTTAGAGTGCATTTATCATTTAGTTTGTTTGTCGGTGATAGAAAATGTGAATACCGCGTATTAACGTACATGAATAATTCCTGTTCAATCAATGTTTTGTTTCAACTTTCAACCCATATTTAAGTTAGTTCTAATTCATTTTAATTCCTGAATCATTCAATACCTAACTGCGCACCAAACAACGTGATTTGGGCTAAAGAGATTTTCATGCCCCCAACAGAGTATTTGTTGTTACATTATTTTTGGCTTTATTAACTTTTAGTCATACTCGCATTAAAAATGAAGTTAGCACTTCATTAGGTTTTAATTAAACCAAAAAAATAATGATGCCTTAAAAATAAAAACTATATTTATTAACATATTTTATATATTTAAATTATTCGTTTCATTTTCAGATACATTTTGTGGAAGCAGAAGTAATATATTTGGCAATATAAGTATTTATGTCCAAATAATTAGAGGACTTGGGCTGCAAAGAATACTTGGATAGAGCGAATTGGATGATCAAGCCGAGTATGCAAGATTGAGTAGGGCATTTCTAATCAATTATTTCTCGTCTCATATTTAGACAAATTGATTTAGTTAATTTTAAAAAAAATCTATTCTCTTTATTATTTATTATTACTATTTATTTAAGCATTTTAATAAGTAATTCCAATTAAAAATTAGTTTTATCATTTCTTGTCTTGTCGTAAGGCTCCTCCCTATCTTTTCTATGAGGAAATTCCAAGAATGTAAAATTTTAATGGCATGACAATCCCTCCACCAACGCAAGTTATTAAAAGATAAACACACTGGTTCCAACCTAAGGGAGCTTAAGCAGTGAGGTGTTCAAAACATTAAAACTGAAGTAAAAATATGTTATATACAAGGACAAAATCATGCAGTTGTTTTAATGTTTTCAGTATATTGTCGAGTTTTCTGTCCCCATTTCCCTTAAAAAAATGAACAAAAAAAAAATTGATATATAAATATGCGTATGGATCAAGGGTCTATGATAGATAGGTGAAATTTAAATTGTTAAAAGACTTCATTAAATTGGGCTAATTAATCATATTAGATATTGTGTAACTTTTACTTTAATTACCTCTTTAAAACAATAAAATATAGATAGGAACAGATATCATCGATTAATTCACTTTAGGACTGTATAATTATGCATCCTTCTTTCAGGAATTAAGCATGAGAGGAAAATTTTGAGCATTTAAATACACTGACTTCTAGGTAAACACTACTAATCAATCTCAACTTCAGAACACATTTGAGATATCTTATATCTCCATTTTCAATCCGTATCTGTAACAAAAGCTAAAACATGCTAACGAAAAGTATTTCCTAGATTAATTTACACGTCTCAATATGAAATTCACTATTGTTTCTCAACAAGTTTTTCCCCTAAAACACATTATTTAAAATCAGCCCCCAAAAAAAAACTTTTTTCCAACTTCGTACTCGTTTTTTTAAATTTATTACATAAAAGCTGATTTTTTGTTGTATAAAAACAAAATTAAAATCGCTTTTCAACAATAAAATTTAAACAAAAACTAATTTATAAATATCAGAATAATTTAATTTGCTGGTAAGATTTTCTCTCCAAGCACACAAGCACAGCAAGAATGAAACATGCGAAAGAACACAGGGAACAGAACTCATTATATATCTAACGAACGCACACAGATCCAACTCTGTAACGATCAAATAACCAAAAGCTATCATCGCTACCACTATTACAAATATGATAAAAAATCCTAATCAATAGAAAAATGAAGATAAATAGATTTAAATCTTATAGATAGAAACTCTCCTAATATCAGTCCCAAAACCAATAATGCATGTTAGATCTGGGAATATTACCTGTAGCTACTACTTTGAAGAATCATTATGCCAACATCCTGCTTCTGCAGTGTTGAACCTAAAATCTCATCATCACTGCTGAGTTTGGCCAGTCCATAGTTGATGGTAGATCTGCAGGTTATGAATAGGCTGACTACCATTATTGTTATTGTAGAGTCCCTGGCCTCCTGGGCCCTTACTAAAATTACTGTTCTCATTATCCTCTGATGACTCAGTTGAAGGCCCTTGAGAAGTAGGAGTGGTTGGAGTTGTAGGTGCACCAAAATTTAACAATTGGGATGATGGCGTCGAAGATCGTCCAGATTTCAGGTTACTTGAGCTAGACTTTTTTAAATCTGCAATAAAGCTACCCACAACTACCTGTTCATATGCAGTGGAGTTAGATCAATCATTCATGTAGAAGAAGACTCCAATAATACCCAAGAACTTGTATACACAATGTACTCTATAAGAGCAGAAGACAAATTTCAATATAGCTCTATTGTTTACAATTTGACATAAATTTTCTACCATCTGAGACCAATACCTGAACTGCCGAGGCTGCAGTAAGAGCTCCAGCAACTTCACCACCTAATACTCGCCCATCCCGTCCTGCTAAACTCACATTCAAGGAACGCATTCCGTTTTGACCACTATTGTTTTCAGATTGTTGAGTAAAACCTGAAAGTGATATGATCTCAAATTCACCCTGTAATGAGAAAGAAATCAAATCATTTGAATAAATCTTTAAACACAAACCTGTTACAATAGAGTAAAAATAATAACACAACCAATAGTGTAAAAATGACATAGCGTCAATGAAATTATGTGAAATTAAAAATAACGAGTCCTAAAGATGCAGATAAAATTGATTATTTTTCAGGTTGATAAAAACATTATTATTTCTGTTTAAACCCCATTGGTAAACCACACATGACCGCATTAACACATAAATTACAAATTTGAACAATTGTACTTGAAAAAAGGTTTAACAAAAACCTACTGATAAGATACACTCTTTTTGAAAAAATGGAAAACCTGGATTCTGTCAGTATACACTTTGCCAAAGATTATATTATTCCGGTCACTTTATTTTATATTTTGTATAATAAAAGAAACATAAAAAAGAGAATAATCATATTCAATTCAATAGAAAAAATGACCAGATCATTTATCAATGCCAAATTTTCAGTAAAAGAGAAGGTTCCTTCGGAACACTTTTTTATTTCTATTTCAGTATACTGGGTTTCTTTGTTTCAATTCAAAAAATTGATATCATTTCTATTTTGAAATGAAAGAAAAATGTGGGGATAAATATAAATGACAAAAAGATATTGGAACATAATTTTGGAAGAGATGATGGAAGCTGGAGTTCATTTTAGCCCACTTCATCCTACCAACTATACCTTATATAAAATAAATAGAAAGCCTTTCTATAACAATTCAATAACAATTCAAGACAACAAGAAAGCAAAATATTTGATCAGACCTTTTTTTTATTTTCATGTCTTTTTCTCCAACTAAACTACTCTAGTACAGCTAGTGCTAGTAGTACAACAGAATGTCGTTCACCCCGCAATCCCTTCAAAGCCTAAAAGATTATATTATTCTAGAAGATGCAGACAGAGAAACTTTGATTCATTTGTATGGCCTGTTAAACTTCTTTATTGTTTTCAATGCATTCAGTGAAGAGATAAGTCAATGATACAGCAGATGGATCATTTGGTTCCAATAGATTCGACAGTAGACAAAGAATCCCTATTGAGCTATAGCATGTTATTATACCATTCAGTTCCATCCACAACAATAGAAATATAATTTTTCAGGGCACGGTTTTTTAGATCAAATTAGGTATTTTAAAACATTAAAGGAAACCATTGCAGAATATACTCCTTTCATAAAACAGATAGCATTCAGAACCTAATGTTTTTGATAGATGTTGTGTTTAGAACCTCATTCATACTCTGTTTTGAAAAATAAAAAATTTTAAGCACATGAACCGGAAGATAATAGGTGTGTTCAAATTCTGCTCAACAAAGTACTCTTAATATACACACAAGCACACCAAACAGATATATAGTATTTCAAGATCATTTCCAATCAATATAGAATAACAAAACTTCTAAACAGTTGACATGATTTTGAAAAACATTCCCCATTGCAATGTCAAGGATTTGGGGCTCACTGAAATTTCATCACAACCTCAAAAGTGGCCCCTTTGACCAGAATTGCCCACAACCACAACTTAAAACCTCTTTACAGTTTATAATGGTTATTTAAAGGATCGTAATGGTAAAAGAATGTGAAAGGTACCTCATATGACACATCAGTCCCAGAAAGGGAGGAGGCGGAGGGCGGCTGTCTAATGGTGACATTGCGGATAGGACCAGTAGCAGAAAGAATGCAAACTGTCCGTGGTCCTTGCTCACAGAAGGCCATAATTTTTGCAGCAATGTCCTACGAACAAAGAGACATTGAATTAATGAGAATAATTTACAACAGAAGTAGTACCCAACAATACCCTATATGTGTTGTTAATATAATAATTGTCATTGTGATTTTGACAAGCGAGTGCGTGATCCTAATAGTACATACCTCCCCAGCTTCGGCGGAGATAACATGGGGAGTGAAACCAGTTCCAGTGATTCCTGAACAAGAAAAAAAAAAAAAACGCAGACGATCAAAACATGAGAGGAAAGGGATGAAACAGCCAAATAGATAGATTGATAGATAGATACCGAGGGCGTCCATCTGCTTCTTGCCGGAGCCAGGAGGGCGTCCTCGGTGCTTCTTGGGGGCAGGCTCGGAGGAAGAAGCCGCGGTGTGGTTGGGGACAAGGCCCAAAGCAATGTTGCCATCTGGTGAGTACTTTCTGGGCCGGCCCCTCTTCTTCTTGGAGGACTCCGAGGAACCGACTGCGAGCGTACACGGCTTCAACGCAGCCTCGCACATGGTGTTGTTGTTGTTGAGAGGCTCGGGCGGAGGTGGGGGAGGAGGAGGAGGGGGAGGGTTGTGGTGATGGTTGTTGTTGCTGATAAAAGGAAATCGGGCAGTGGCGGGTGCCAACATGGAAGGGAAGGAGGTGGGTCCCACCATAATGTTTGGTGGTTGCGGTTGCTGGTGCGGTTCCCGAGAATCCATGGCCGGTGAACGGAGAGAATAAGGCGAAAGCGAAATGCGGATCGCAGAGCGGTGTTGGGTTCGGAATGCGAGAGGAGAAAACAGGGATTGAATTTGATTGTGAAAGAAATCAGTGATTGGAGAAGATGAGAGAAGAAAAAGAAAAAGAAAAAGAAAGAGAAAAAAAAAAAAAAAGGAACAGGGTATATATATGAAAGAGGAAGAGAAAGAGAATGAGAATGTGAGGGTAGGGAGGGAACACCCAAGGCGGGCTTTGGGCTGGTTGTATTAATTTAGGGTTTTACTTTTAGATTTGGTTTTTATTCCCTCTTTTTTCCCGTTTTCTTATTCACGAGATTTTCATTTGGATATGATATGATATGATAGTTACCCACTCATCGCTCCCGTCAATTTCATTTTTCCTTTCCCATCGTCCGTCCAACAAACTTTTTACCATAACTATATTTGTTATTTTTAAATATTAAAAATAGTAGATAACTATAATATATTAACCTTTTTATTTACCAATAATCACATGTTAATTAATCATTTTTATAAGTGTTTTAATCAGGTGTTTGATCACATCTAATTACAGGCGTCACTTGATATATAAACTATGCATAAAATGAATGTGTGCATTACACAATAAATGTAGCAAGTTCATTATGAAAAATTATTGAATACTTAGTTCACAGAATTTATAAATGTTTACAACGTGACTGTCTTTGCATTATTGTCGTACACAATTTGTTACTTTACCCATTTTAACTTTAAAGTGTCATATCTTAAAAATAAACAATTTTCTAAAACTAATCTTTAAAATAATTTCTGAATTTAAAAAATCAAATTATATCAAATAAACCCTATTTATTTTACTTGTTACATAATTTGAGATATAACTTTCTTCTCCATGTGCCTTTAATTTTGAAAATTGTAGTTGTGTCTTATTATGTAGTTGAGTTATTTAAAATTTTAAAATAATTTGACTATTAACCTTATTTTTTATGTCTGTACTTTTACTTCAATATCTTTAATTACGTATTAAATAAGCGGAAAAATTATCAATGCTTGTCTTAAATTATAATCACTGAACACTAATAAATAAATAAATAAATAAAATAGTAAACCTAACCTAAATTTCCATTTGTTACGCAATTTAGCCAAATAACAATATTTTATTGTAGATTTTTTACCACAATTAAAAAAATTATCAAATAGTTGTTCACGTAAATCATCCCTAATTATGTTTAATCTAAAATAAATAGATTAGTTTAATAAATTAAATTTATAACCAAAATTAGAAACTAAATAAAAAGTTTAATCATAAATAAATAAATTTGAATAAAAAATTCGATTACATAGTTAAATTAATAATTTAATTTAGTTTTTTATATTCTCAACCAAATAAAAATGACTGTAAGATATTTTTTAAAATAATTGTAAAAAACAATAATCTTATCACACTATATAATTAAGTTTTTTTATTAAAATAATATAATTTTTTCTCAAATTTACTAAAATAAATAACTTTTAAAAATTATAGATTTTGAAAAAAAGAAAAGCACGACTTTTATATATATATATATATATATATATATATATTAATAATAATTATTATATTATTATTATTATTAATAATTAAATTTATTTATAATAATCAGTATTACTTTAGTATTAATAATAATAAAATAATATTGATAATGAATTTATTAATAAAATTATAATATTTAAAATAATAATAATAATAATAGAATTATAATTATTAATATTATTATTTGATTATTAATATCATTTTATTTTATATAATTATATTATTATCATTAATATTATTCTATTATTAATAATAAAATTAAAATAATATAATAATTTTAATAAAACTTTAACAAAATTATTAACATTATTTTAATGCTTAATAATAATAGAATAATAATAATAATAATATAAATTACATAAATTAAAAATAATATTAATAATAAGATAATTATATTAATAATTATAAATCTATTATTTATATATATATATATATATATTATTATTACTATTTGATAATATAATTTTATTAAAAATTATTCATTATTAATATCATTTTATTATTATTATTAATATAATAATAATAATAATAATAATTTTAATTTTATATTATTAGTATAAATTTAATATTATATATCTAAATAATAACAAATATTATTAATATAAATTTAATTATTATTATATATTAATAACTATTATTATATATAATAATTATTATTATATATAATAATATTAAATTTATTATTATATAAAATAAAAATAATATTAATATTAATAATAAGATAATCATATTAATAATTAAAATTATATAATTTATTCATATATTTATGAGATTTTAATAGTTTAAAGAGAAATAATGTATAAATGAAGTAAAACTGAAGTTTTTATCTTTGTTATAAAAATAGTTTAAATAGAAAACTTTTATATTTCAAACTTTATTTCTAAAGAATCACCATCTCTCTAAACTTTAAATCTTCTTTACCCAATTTTTATCGTTTTATAAATCTAAGTACATCATTGTATTCCTAGGAGCGAGGGAACATTTCCATCCAATCATAATCTTAAATAGAGTAAGTTTTTTTTTTTCAATTTTAGAGTACATTTACAACTTTTGGGCTAAGGTTTGCATGTGGGCATTCAAATCTTACATGTGATCATGGTGGGATAAAGATAAATATTGATTAATTTAGGAATATTATAGAAGGTTTGATTTGTTAATTAGAGATTTTCTGTGAGCAAGATCTGATTTCCTAAGAAATTGGGGATTTAGAGCTTTCAAGTTTGACAACACCGAAACTGGAAGGTAAGGGAAATTACTAAATATTCAATTTTTAAAATACTCTAGACTATAAGATCTGGATTGTGAATATGATTTGGTCGCATTGTTTAAGTTTCAGGAAGTTTGATTGTGTGATTATGTATGTGTTGATTGATGATGGTTGTATTGAATGTATAATTGATTTATATGAGATTGAAAAAAGATAGTCTTTTTGTATGAATGTATTACTCTTAGATTGAAATTAGTGAACTGATTTATAATAAGGAGGGTAAAGTTTAGAATTAATTTGATTTAGAACATTAGAAATATGGTATTGAGTAGACTATGTAGTCTCTATTGTCACGAATCCACCTAGTGAATTAAAATTTGCTCAACAAATTTAAGACAGTGTTGAAAGTGCTTATAATTTGCTCAACACTTTCAAAATCGTCGAACGAATTTTGAACCGTATTAGAGGTTTCATTTTATCAAAATTTCGCTCAATGCTTTCAAATTCGTTCAAGCACTTTCAAATTTTCTTAGCAGCTTTTGAAGAATTATAAAAAAATAGTTATGAACTCTAAATTTAATGTTCTATATATAAAGATCGAAGCCCGGAAATAAGGAATCTAATAAAACAAAAATTATTTAAAAAAGATGTCTACAGAAAAAGTTATGATCAAAATAATAGGTAGAAGTCAAATTAAAAAAAAAAACTATTTTTGTTATAATGTGAGAAATGATATGTATGTGTCTTAGGCTATTAAAATATATGTTATGAACATAAAATCATATGTGTTGGTGCTAATATATGTATAGGAAAAATATATTTTTGTAATGTGAGAAATATGATGTATTATCCTTATATGCATGTTATCTTTGTGATATAGTAGTTTCCAAGGAGGAGATACTATGTTGGATATTGGTAATGTATTGAATTTGGGATTCTAAAGGAAATATAACTTTCCTTGTCATTAATGAATGTGTCTTTAATTTTGAGAAAAATATTAGGTGGTGAGAGTTGAATGAAATCTCTATGACTTAGTTTATGGTATAAAAAAATGTATTTGGCATGTTATAGGAATTTACCTTGTCACATGAGGGAACATGTTTCAATTATATACATATGTTAGATATATTCACTTAGGGAAGGTAGTGTGTCAAGTAGAAATCTCTGAGTCTAATTCAATGTATGAAAGTCTTCCAGAAGTAGAGTCAAATGTCTATGATTGTGAAAGTCAGTATATGATGACACGAGATGTAGCTTGCATACTGAGATATTAGATACTTGATTTATTGTATAGTCATGGTTCTTGATTTATTTATTCAGATGTGAATGTTGAAAATACGAATCTGTATGGGCATGTGATGTGATATATGAAAACTTGAAGTTGAATTATGTTGTTTTATCTCACATTTGAATCTTGCATGCTTAAATTGAATTCGTAACTTACCATTTGTGTTTTGTATGTGTTTTTTGTTAGAATTAATTTAATTAATTCACTCTATTATGTGACTTATGTGAAATATAATGATGACCCAAATGTGATTTAATAAAATATAAGAACATATTGATTATTAAGAGAAGTCAGAATAAAATAAAAATAAAATAAAATAAAAATTTATACTAATCAACTTGATGAACGTTAATTAACAAAGGAGATTAAGGTCCTGACCATAAGGTTTTTCTCACAGTAAACCATCAGAAAAGTGTGATAAGAGAAAAAAAGACAAAGAGATAAATTTGGAAAAAGAGGTTGGAGAACAAAGACATTAAAGAACGCATTCTCATTGAATATCTCTTATCGAACAAGGTTAGTCAGCATATTATCATTTATGTTATTATATGTGAATCATGAATCTAAAGATTGTGTAGAGTAGTTTTTCTGGAATGAATGAAAAACGTTAGAAAACTACATAATGATTTACATGTGCTATCAGAGTCATTGTTATTAGATTTATGATTCTCCTCTTATGATAATTTTTCCAAATTATGTTTTTTCCAAATTAAAATAAATCCTAACTATGAATTTAGGGATTTTAAGTTTTCCGTTGCGTATGATAAATTTATGAATGTGTATCATAACTTTATGAATTGGTTATCTAGTTTTTTCCTTGTGTTTATCGCTGCATTGGTTATGTCTTCAAATCCAATTTAATTGTCAAAGGAATACACCAAAATATTTTTCCTATCACATGAATGAATTTGTGATTGAAATTAATGGAATGATGT